AAAGCCACGCATGTTCAAGCTAGAAACGGAGCTCCTGAGTTCCGATCTAGAAAAACTGATTTGGTTTTTGGTTTTGTCTATTGTAATTATTTCATGGAAGATGGAATTTATGATAAGCTCTACAAGATTTTGGGTTTTGTTTTGAAATTATTGTATTATTTTATATTAGATGGAATTTATAATAAGATCTACAAGATTCTGCAATTACAAACTCATGGAAGGATGGGGATTTGCATCGTCATCAACTACAAAAATTTTATATTTTTATTAATCATGTGTAATTTTGATCTCCATGATATCATAACTTCTATATATGCTTGCTCATAAAGTATTCTTCAGATTGTATGCCCCGTCCGTTAGTTGCACAGATAAATAATATAGTCTGAACATTGTAGATTATCAGTCAGATTTATATGTGTGTATGTAGATCATATTATCAATAAGATGTTTTGAAAGAAGAACTGAGTGAGAAATCTGGGAGAGAGAAGACAAAAACCAGAGGAGAAATTGAAAATGAGTAAAAAACAAAATGGGTCTGAAATGTCAACTATTGAATGGCTATATGTAAGACTAGGAAACACACAATTAGAAATTGAATATATTCATGAAATGACCGGTGTAACCCCGATTGAAGATGAGTTGAAAGAGAATATGCTAAGATGGTTTGATCATGTATAATGAAGGGTGTAGATGCAATAGTAACAAATAGTGATATGATCAGCATAAATAGAATGTTAGGGAGTGCCCCATGTTAGGGAAAATCGATGTGATTCCCCACAAGTAAATCAATCAATGGGAATAAAAACTAATGCGGAAAAATTAAATCAAAGGCAACACAAGAATTTTTACGTGGTTCCCTCAATGTGAGGTACGTCCACGGGATCGAAATCCGATTCCACTATCAACCAAATAATTCCAAACGATTACAAACGAGACACTAATAGTCTCACAAAACCACCCTTAGGTGAATTCCAAATAATCACAAATAAACAAAGAGGAAAGACCTCACCAAATAGAAGAATCAAAATCTTCAGAACCAGAAAGAACCAAAGTTGTAGAAGACCCAAAATAACGACCAATCAACTTCCACACAAAGTACTGAAACAAACACTGTGACCCACAAATCAATGTTTGTATGCTGTGTTTCTGCACTTCGGGAAAAACAAATCAGTAAGGCACCGCTGCGCCTCTTTTTTCCCAGCAAAAACGAAGACAATATATATAGCTATTATATCATGTTGTGATCTTGGATTTTTATAATTAAAATGCTAATTGTATCCAAATCTGAATTAGGGTCTCCTCAATATAATATATAACAAATATATTATACTAACCAAGCCAAATTAAAACTCTTATTAATAAATCAATTGGGTCCACCTCCATAAGGGGAGGTATACCCAACAATTCTCCCTAAGCTTAGGGTGGAGACATCAACCATACCCGCCAAAGTTCGACCACTTTAATGTTTAGGGTTCCCTCGAACAAAGTCTTGTCACATTATCTGAATCTTATATCTGTGTGAACCTTTTTCGAGTTGTAATAACTCTGAAATCTAACACATCACGAATCCAATGTATCTCACATCAATGTGTTTCGAGTCTACGCACTCAGCACACAGTAGATTTTTCACTCAAGTGAATAGCTACTTTGACTAATCACAATAGAAGGCACATACTTTTCTTGCTTCAACCCAAATTCTGCAAAAATTTCTTTAACACCATACTCTTCTCTTGCCAAGCTTCCGTAATAGAATATTCAGCTTCGGTTAAGTTGAGAGAGCCAACCACCTTTTTGTAATTTAGACTGCATGCCACAGCTCAC